TTGTCCTGAACGGGGTTGCACTCCCTCCTAGGGATAAGGTCCGCAGCTTGGGAGTGCTCCTCGACCCGGAGCTTTCTCTCGAAGCTCAGGTAACAGCAGCGGCGAGGAGCGCTTTCCTCCAGCTTCGGCTGGTTCATCAGCTGCGCCCCTATCTGGAGTACGACAGCCTCGCAACAGTGACTCATGCACTCGTGACTTCCCATCTGTAACGCGCTCTACGTGGGGCTGCCCTTGAAGACGGTCCGGATACTTCAATTGGTTCAAAATAGAGCTGCCAGGCTGCTGACGGGAACTGGACGTTATGCTCACATGACTCCAGTTCTCCGTCAGCTTCACTGGCTTCCCATTGAAGTCCGGGCCCAATTCAAGGTGTTGGTGATGACCTATAAAGCCCTAAACGGCTTGGGTCCTGGTTACCTGAAGGAGCGCTTATGTCCATATATGCCCAGCCGCCCCTTGAGATCAGCAGGAGAGGCCCTCCTCCGGGAGCCCTCAGTGAAGGAAATTATGAGGGTGGCTACTCGGAGGAGGGCTTTCTCAGCGGTGGCGCCTAAGTTATGGAATGCGCTCCCCAGAGAGGTCCGCCTGGCGCCGTCGTTATTTGTTTTTCGGCGCCAGGCGAAGACCTTTTTATTTATGCAGCATTTTAAATGTTAATATTATTGAATTTTATTCGGCCAGGGCGGCTTATTTTATTTTACTGTATATATTTTAATTGTCATTGTTTTAATGTATTTTGTATTCGATGTTGCAAGCCGCCCCGAGGCCTTGGCAAGGGGCGGCATAGAAATGTTTTAATAAATAAATAAATAAATAAATAAAATCAGGAAGGAAGCAGGTATGCAAACTAAGACAGACCAAAGCTTTACTAATGTTATACCTGGCTATTTTTCAGGCTGTGTCTCTCAGAACCAAAATGGTTTCTTCAGCCATGGTGTCATGGTAATGCCAGTTAGACAGTGGTACCTTGGGTCACGAACGCCATGGCTCACGAACGCCTTGGGTCACAAACAAAAATTTCATGAAAATTTTGACTAGGGTCACGAACTCCGCTTTGGGTGGTGACCAAGATCGCAGCCATCTCCCCCCGCCCCCGAGAAGGGAGATGGCCACGATCGCGTCGTGTTCGTGTAGGGAACACATGCGTGATCACAGCTGTACTGTGCAGCGCCTGTCTTTCCTTCAGGAGCGCACCTGTGATCACGTACGTCTTCCCTGCACAAATACATCTGCGCTGGCCATCTCCCCACTCGGGGGGGTGGGGAGATGGTCACAATCGTGCTGGTTGGGTGGGGGAGATGGCCGAGATTGCACCCGTCTTTCCTGCAGGAATGCGCCCATGCCAGGGTTTCTTTGAGAAGCACCACCTCAACATAAATGTAACTAACAGAGTGTTGAATCTGATGAACAATAGCTTGGTCTCTCATTTCCAGAGGGTTATGTAGCACAGGAAAAAAACAAGTGACTATAGACAGAATTTTCACCCAAATTGACCCTGCAGCTAAGAGACAAAGAGAGGAAACCCCTGAAAGAGATCTCCTCAGTGTCCTTATGGAGGGGGACTCTCCCTCAAAACAATAATCTCCCCCCCCCACCTAGGTTAGTGTTCTCCACTGTACTGTACAGTACTTTGTTACTTTGTTGTTCTTTGTCACTTTGTTTCAAAATTTCTGATTTAAAAAAAAAAATAGTTACATAATGGATTAACCCTTATTTACATTGAACCTTATGGGGAAATTTGTCTTGGCTCGCGACCAAAAACTGGCTCACAACCACATTCAAAGGGGCCAGAACGAATTAACCTTATTTACATTGAATCTTATGGGGAAATTTGACTTGGGCCACAACCAATTTGGGTCACAACAAGAGTTGTGGGATGGATTAAGTTCATGAACCAAGGTACCACTGTACTGTGTACGATACACACATCAGAGAGCCAACATGTTTGAAGCCCCCCTGAATAGAGTTCACTAGAGCTCATCCTCTAGCGTACATAAAATTGAAGTTTCAGTAGTGTACTAGTGTACTATAAAGCATGATAACCAATAAGGACAATGTCAGTTTTCCATATAAATAACAGAAAAAAACAAAACAAAAAATAACCATAGGAGCCAAGCATGGAGCTACAGTTCCAATATCACCATCAACTTGGTTAGTTTGTTTTTCATTGCCAGTACAAAGAGGCACATCTAGTTACTTCATGATCAAATGAGGGGTTGCACTCACACTTAGCTCACACCCAGCACAGCCAGATAGCAAGTGCATACTGCAATCTCTCAAGGACCTCAAGAAGTCACATACATCCAGAGAGGATAATTTAACAGCAGACATGCATGGGCTTGCTATTAACCATGGGTTCTCAAACTACAGCCTGCGGGCCGCATCCAGCCCGCCATGCCCATTTATCTGGCCCGCCATAGAGATTTTGGACTCACCGCATGTGCATGCATGCGCATGCACATGGCAAGGTGGTGGCTTGCTCATGTGGAGATTGTTTTAGACTCACTCAGAGAAAAAGACCTCCACACGTGCCCCGGCCCGTGCCTCCCGCCCACACCACCTTGGCGGCCTGCACCCATCGCCGGCACCTTTCAACTGGCCCCCTGTTGAAAAAGTTTGAGGACCCCTGATTTAAGGGATGCCCCTATGGCCCCTAGTCACTTTTGGGAGGGGAGCATAAGATACTTCAGATTCTCAGTTTCAAGGTCAAAGACAACAATCTGAACCTAGAGCTGGGAAATGGAGCTCTGCATCCCCTTCCCTTGACTTGCAAGCAGCACAGAAAGGACCCCACCAGCTGCTCTTCCAACTTGAGAAAATAACCTTGGAGAAGGGTTAAAGGGGAGATTCCAGGGGTAGGGAAGAGAGTAAATCAGGGAGCCAACAACTCCAAGCCTCTTCTCTCCCTCTGAGATGCCATCATTGCAGAACAGGGAGATTAGAAAGGAAATTATTGCCTCTCTTGCCCCTGCCACTGGTGAACATGAGTCTCCAAGTTCGGAGCTCACATTCATCTTGGTCAGATTGTGTCCTCCGAAGCTAATTTAGCCTCTGCTGTTCTTCTCATATTACCAGTAAGTTGTCCACATCTAGCATCAAAACACTGCACTCCTTCAAGGCCGTTCTTAATGAATGTGCTGTTATATTTAGAACCAGAAAATTTTCTTCCCTGAAAAGCTGTAAGTATATAATCTGAATTCATCAACAGTCAAATAAATATTAATCTTTTCTTCACCTGGTAAATTCAAAATGACTTATGACAAAAGGAGAGGAAAAAATGATTTATTTCTTCAACATGTCTCTTGGAAATACACATACAAATGTATGGCTAAACGGTGCTAATTTAAAGAAAATATACTCGATCTAGTGATATTCAGGTGTTCTAAGTGACTCACTTTCTTGTTAGACTTAATTTCAGTGAAAAGAAACAAGAATGTGGTATTGTAAACATGAAGCCAATAACTTCCTATATAAGTTTACATACTGATAAAACAAAATTAGGAAGGGAATGAAAATCCCTTTTCACTGATTTATGTGGCAGAACTCAAGCATGCTTTCATGCATAATGTATCATCCTCAAAATCAAATCTGCATGCAAAAGGATGCTGTGTAAGTTAAGAACAAGCAACTAGTGACCAATACTGTATGTCAATGCATACATCTATTAAAAAGATGATCAGGTCCATAGCTACCTATCTCGTATTTTGGGTTGAGTGATAGAATTAGCTGTTCTCCAGTCTTTGGGTGAAGTGTTCTGTCAAAGCAGGCAGCAACATGTGCAGGTCAGTGTTGTGGGCATCTACAGATGCTTTAAGTTTCCTTTAAGTTTCTCCAAACAGTATTTTCTTGTGTCATATTACTATGTTTTAGATCATGGGTCCTCACATTATGGTCCATAGGCCGGATACAGCCCACCATGCTGAGTTATCTGGCCTACCTCAGAACTTTTGGACTCACGTGGAGAAAACGATCTCTGAGAGAGTCCAAAAGCTCTGAGGCAGCACAGGTGTACTCGGTGGGGAGATAGCTGTGATCACAGTCACGCTCATGCAGGGAAGACAGGCGCAATCGTGGTTGTGCTCAAGGGGAGAGATGGCCACGATTGCATCCGCCTGCATGAGCACAACTGCAATCGCGTCCGTCTCCCCCCCCCCCCCCGTACGATCGCAGACATTGTAGCTATGTCCCTTGAATATGGACATGCTCTTCCCCACCTCACCTTGGGCTTCTGCTGAAGCCCAAGCAAGCGGAGCAAACATTTTTTAATTAATTTCTAAATTTCTTTTAATTTTAACTAATTTTTAAATTTCTTTTAATTTTAACTAATTTTTAAATTTCTTTTAATTTTAACTAATTTTTAAAGTGCGGTGTGCATAGGAATTCATTCGTATTTTTTTCAAACTATAGTCCAGCCCCTGAACAGTCTGAGGGACAGTGAACTGGCCCCGTTTAAAAAGTCTGAGGATCCCTGTTTTAGATGTTAGACTTCGGGAGAAATGATATGTCTCAATTCCCCAAAAGCATACCAACTATGAGATCACCATGCATCTCAACAAAAATCCCACATAATGTAGGAGTTCACCAGATAACATTCAATTCCTTTAGTAATAAGCTCTAGACCAAATAATACATATATTTGCAACTGAAGAAGTGTTTGGTAAAACACACAAGAGTAAAAGTTGATACTACAGAAACAGAAAGATTCTGTTAAAAGTTATAAACTATGGCTCCAGTTCACACATGTCCAGCTTCTTTTTGAACCAGGTTAAATCTCCCATAATATTTTGTATCATTCTCTTTTCCAAAAGTACTATAAGGTTAGCATATCCGATGTGGTACCTACATACCTCCCTTGATGCCTGCTGTGCTTTCTGCCACTCCTACTTTTACTATTTTTAAAATGTTAAAATAATTAAATATTGGGGAGGCCAATGTGCTGCAAATCAAAGTGCTGACCTCCAGCACTACCATTACCAAGAATGGAGCACAGGCATTCTTAGAAAGTGGCAGGTGTCTGCAGCCCAGAGTTTTGTTCTGAAGCATACCCAGCTGCCAAGGAAAAAAGAAAATGCCGTATCTTATGAGGCTAGGGGATGCTCTACCTGTGCTCTATGTGTATGTGTTGCTTGAGTTTAAGGGGAGGCGCATGTATGTATGTTACTTGGTTTTGTTTTGTATAATTTGTCTGTGGGGGTATTCTCCTTGGTGCTTGCCAGTTTTCTCCCAGATGTGTCCATGTGTCTGTTTTTCCAGGACTACCTAGGGGTATTTTACTTGGAGGAATATGTTTGTTTTGCCCATCTGTTTTGCCTGACTGCTCTCTCAGCATCACCTTTTTGTCTTCTATGAAATGGATATTCTGTGGCATTTTATAGGAAAAAACACGAGACTTTTTGCACTCACATCCCATCTCTGTCTCATTCTCAGTTTCTTGGCTGAATTACTTGTCTGTGTTGTGCGCACATACAGGGAAAAGTGGCCAGAAGGGTCTGTTGATAGATTTAATGGAAATCAGAGTTCAAACAGTGAAGAGAAAGCAATTTTGGAATGACAGCAGATGACATTATCAGATCAAGGTCAAGGAATGTCTGCAGTTCAATCACCGTTGCCTCAGCTGGGTGGGGGGGGCAACCAACCATCTCATGGCAATGGAGAGAGAGCCCATTGAGGGGTGGAGCCGGGGATGGAAGATGATGACGAGAGCCGATCTGGTCCTGGAAGGAGGGTTCCAGTCTGCTTAGGGTGTGGGCCAAGAGCTGAATAGTCTGTCAGATGTAGAGGCTCCACCCCTGAGAATGTGTTGTTGGTTGTTAAGAGGTAACACAGGTAGGAGATTCAGACGGGAGGAATGCCAGTGCCCCACCACAGGCGGAAGATTTTTTTTTAATATATTTTATTAACATTTTAAACTAACACTAAAAACATCAAACATGGCAAACGTTGGATTTACTAGGTCAACCTCCTACTACATATTTTTTTAACATTCTAAAGTCAAATTTCAAATCAATTTATAATAGCTTAAAAAACATCTCTAAATTTACGCCAGGTCCCGTTTCTCCAGCCAACTACAGAAAGAGTCCCAAGTTCGATAGAAATCAGTATCCTCTTTCTCCTTCAATGATAAAGTCAATCTATCCATTTCTGCACAGTCCAAGATCTTTCTTACAATCAATCCATCAGTGGGCAGCTCCTCACTTTTCCAATATTGAGCAAATGCAATCCTCGCCATTGCGATCACAGGCGGAAGATTAAGGGGACAACTCAGAGAGGGTTCAACACTTTACACTAGGTGAACTCAAAGATGTTTCACAATAAGCTTGGGAGTACTCCTTGACTCTGAGCTATCCCTGGAATTCCAAGTGGCATCTGTGGCAAGGAGTGCTTTCATAGAAACAAAGAAACAGAGTGAGTCAGAAGGGACCCCCGGCTCCAGCCAGCTCCGCTCATGACATGCTCATCATCCTTGAGCCTATCCTTGAACCGATGGGGCCTCAACCACCTCCCATGGAAGCCCATTCAATACCCTCGGGGTCCTAACTATCAGGAAATTCTTCCTAGTATCTAAATTGAACCTTGGAAAGCGAGCCCGGGTTGGTTTTGATCTGATAAATGCACACATTCCCGCAGGTCAGCGCTCATTGGCATGTATTAGCTCTAGAATTACCACAGTTATCCAAGTAACAGTTGGAGCAACCAGAGGAACCATAACTGATTTAATGACCCATTCGCAGTTTCACTGTCACGACCATGTGTACTTAGACATGCATGGCTTAATCTTTGAGACAAGTATATGCTTCGGCTTAGGCTGGTACATCAGCTGCACTCTTACCTGGACAGACAGGTCCTAGCAAAGATAACTCATGCACTGGTAAACTCCAGGTTGGACTACCACCACATGCTCTATGTGGGGTTGCCCTTGAAGATGATCCAGAAATTGCAATTAGTTCAAAATAGTCCTATATAAGTTACACTGGCTACCAATTGAAGCCTGGGCCCAATTACCTAAGGTTACCAGTTTAGGACCTGGTTATCTAAGGCAGTGGTTTTCAACCTTTTTACAGCTGGGGACTGGCAAAAATAGGAAAATTATTTCAGGGACCGCTGAGGCAGAAATAAAAAGCATTATATACATAATATAGTATTTTGTGTGTTAGTTTTTAAATATAGTACCAAAAAATGAAAATTCTCTGAGATAACCAGAAACTGAGCAGTAAAAATGCTAGTAAAATACTGAAATTTAATGTAATCAAATACAACTGAAATTTTTAGAGACCCTGATATAATTCATATTCAAATAAGGCTACTGCAAAATCCGCTGTTGCTTCTTTTCAAGAATACTTATCAAAAATTTACAAAAGCAAAAGACAAAATCAATATAAATGCAATACTATACTCATAGGAAATACGAATTCAAATACACTATCAAAAGCAGAGCAATACAAAATCAATCAAAGTTACTTAATACAATAATATTCATAATGTTAAATAATGAAATAGAATGAACCCCATCCACTCATACACACCAGTACAGACTGTCTGAGAAAACACTCTCAGCACAATCCTACCTCAGCATTTCCCTTCCCAGCAGAAAACACAGCAGAAAAAAGGGCCCAGTCTTCAGGGCCTTGCCCAGAGGGTTGACCCAGCATGGCCCAGCTCCGAGCTGGCTCCGATTGAGCTACCTCTCCCCCCCCCAGCCTCCCTGGCTGAGGAAGAGGCAGGTAATTGACACAGCAAACCCAGCAAGATGCCACTGCCGTACGTGTGCACAGCAGTGGCTCTTTCATGGACTGGCAGGAAATGCTGGCAGACCAGTGCTGGTCCATGGACCAGCAGTTGACAAACACTGACCTAAGGAAACATCTCCTTCCACATGAGCCCACCCAGACCCTAAGATCATCCATGGGGATCCTCCTCTGAGAGCCCTCCTTGAAAGAGGTGAGGGGAGTTGTTATGAAGTGGAGGGCCTTCTCTGTTATAGTGCCCAGATTATGGAACTGGCTTCCCAGAGAGGTGTGTCTGGTGCTGATGCTTTGTTTTGGTACCAGGCCAAAACCTTTTTATTCTCCCAGTTTTTTAATCAATAATGCATTTTAATCAGTTGTAGCAAGGATAGGCACTAAGGAGTTTTTAACTATCCTATGGTTATAATACAGTTCTAATATATATTTATATTTTTGGCTTTTATGTAAACCACCTTGAGATTTCATAATAATCAGACAGTATATAGGAAATTTAAAATAAATAAGGACATGCAACAATAAAGCATTGTGAAAAGGAACTCTGAAGCAGCATGTTTACTCAGCAGTAGGACCATGCCTCACAACACTCTGTGAACCACAACATTTTTTTCTGGCTGATGTACAAAATAGCTATGTGTTTGAATTCAGATCGTACCTCTTCCTTGTACTAAGGAAGGTTCCTTGGAGAGTTACTTTAGATTTAGCCTCAGTAGTTTGTCTTCTGGGGATTTTTTTGACTGGCAATTGATAATGCAGAGTCAAAGTCAGTGCTAAAGGGCTGCATGCATTAAACAGCAAACCCCATAACTTCGTCAGCAGTAAAAGCAAATGAATCTACCCACGTACCATTAAATGTTTGGTTTTCTTCAGAAACCTTTTTCTTTTCTTTGGATTTATCCACGGTTGGAGGGGGGGAAGCTCAGTAAATCGGGGCCGGCTGGGGCGGTCCCACATATAGGTGTGCTTAGTGACTGATTAGCAGATAAACAGTCAAGTGATGTGAATTGTGACAGGTCCCAAGCACAGCTTTTAACATTCAGATGAAGGAGATTGCATTGGGACAAAGAGAATCTTTTCAGCAGTTTCTGTGTAACATGAGAGCCTGCAGGAAGCTTGTTTAAGCAGAGGAATGTAGTGATTTACTTAACTAGCTAGGGCTGAGTTCTTAAGTGGAGCTTTGAGCAGATCAGCAGCTGTGCCGGCGAGTTTTGAGCGACAGAGCCGCAGCAGAGGGGCTCAAGAGCCATGTGCAGCTCCGGAGCCGCGGGTTGCCAACCCCTAATCTAGGGCTTTAGAACCAGTGCTCTGATGAGGGTCCAGAAACAAACTGCCAATGATTTTCAGTTTCACCTTGGGTATTATCCTGTGTCATTGTGTGAACCAGCCCTCAACAATCCTCTTGCTTTGTAAATTAGATCCTACTATATTTACTGGCCTCTGTTTCTGTCAATGCTTTTTCTGTGCAAGGGTTGCTAGTGGAGCATAAAAACATTGATACAAAGGAGTGCATATCCTGTTTAGGGATGAATCAGACCCCTCCCCTCCACCTTTTACTGATTTGCTTATGTGCCTTGCTCTGCCTTTGCATTTTCTGCTCCAGTGGGCCCCACCCAATGTGAACCCTGCCTCTGCCTACACATAGGCTCTACCTCAAGCTAAGTCACTGGGCCCTCTGTCCACCTACCACCACTGGTGCAGGTTTCTAAATGCCCATATTTAGCCTGCCAAGCTGTCATAATTGTTCAGGAAAAATGTTTTTATGGGACTATTTCAACGTATTTACAGACATTCACACTAAAGAAAGAGTGAGTACCTTGTGGTGTTCCAGATGAGAGAGCTTGAACCCCCAGTATCCCTCCTATGTTAGCTAAGTGCTTTTTTTGTCATAGAACGCACCAGAACAAAGTTCCGGCACCCTTTTTTGACAAATTTTCCAAGTTTTAAAAATAACTTCTGAAAATTTGATGTTTGGTCCACGTGGATTTGAATCGCCCTGTCGAGTGTAGCAGGTCGGCGGCAAAATCATTAAAATGGTGCATGCAGGTTGCTTGTATGTCGAATCCGATGCATGCATACTTCATCCGCGCTGGTTGTGATGGCGCTGCTTGGCTTGTGATTGGTTGTGTGGTTGCACACTGAGTGCTTAATGCATGCAGTGACCATTATGTTTCATTACCCAACGGATGTGTGTGGGTGTATACAGTGATTGACTATGTGCAAAAGGTAAATACTTTCATGAGTTCCGGCACCTTTTTTCTTACAAAAAAAGCACTGGCTAAGGCTAGAACCTCTCTCTGTAGTCCTCCAGAGAGAGGTCCTAACACCATTGCATTTCTCAGAACGAAAGCGCTTATGTGAGCTTCAGTGCTTATGTGAGCTTGTGGGGCTGCCCTTGAAGACAATTCAGAAGCTGCAGCTGTTGCAGAATGTGGTAACCAGATTAATAAATGGGACCCACAGGTCCAAAACACATAAAACCAGTTCTGGCATGCTTGTATTGATAGCTTGTATGCTTCCAGTCCTAATTCAAGGTGCTGGTTTTAACCTATAAAGCCTTACACATCTTAAGACCACAATACCTGTCAGATCACCTCTCCTAACCATGATCTACTTGGACACTGTGGTCAACCCTTGGGGCCTTCTTGCAAGTGCCAATTCTGAGGCAAGGGCAGAGGATGGTAACAAAGAAAAGGACTTTCTCAGTGGTGGCCCCCCATTTATGGAACAGCCTCCTCACTGCAGCCCAGCTGGTGCCAAATCTGTCATCTTTTCAGATCCTGGTTAAGACAGCCCTCCTTTCTGAGGCTTTTAAAGACTAACTCAGCCACCCAAGGGCTTGAGTAAGATCACCAGACATTTTACAGTCATTCTTTTGTCATTTCTTGTACTATCTGTTTTTAACATCTGTTTTTAGCTGCTTAAACTTTTTAATGTTCTTGTCTGATTTTTTTGATATTTTATTGCATTTTTATCATTTGTCTTTATAGCTTGTGTAAACCACCGAGAGAGCTTTGGCTATGGGGCAGTACAGAAATTAAATTAATAGTAAACAATAATAGACCAGCTGGAAGCCATAGCAGGCTTAATAAAACTGTTCTCAGGACTGTCCTGTTTCACCATAAGTAGTAGTTTTTGTGGCAACTGCTTTGTGTTCTCAATCTGGTTTGTGCCTCCTCCAGTCCTGCAATGCCTTCATTTGTGTCCTGATGTCTGCAGGTTCCTGACTCTCTCTGGTCCTGCCATATCTTGTCAGTATCTGACCCTTGCCATTCCTGACTCTGTTGGCCTCTGACCTCACTACACCTTGCCAAATTCTCCATCTACCTCCATCACCTCTGATCCTGGTGTTCCAGTCAAGGATGCTTGCCTGCTTATGACCTGGAACTGACAGCTTCATGCAGTACCAGTTAGTAATCAGTCAACACATAAGGACCAATATGTTCCTGCCAAAATATTTGTTAATTTTGCTTGATCAAAGGTAAAAATGATTAATCACTGATGACACACACTGTAGCAGATTCTGTTACTGAACATCACAATACTATAGTTGCATACACGCAAATAGTAAATTGACACTTTATTCAACATACTCAGTCTCTGCGTGCCTTTGATTCTCTGTTCTCTGCACAGTATGGATTCATGGTAATTCTTGGGACAGCAGACTCAGCACAATGTTTGGGGAAGCAAGGAGATGGTCTCAAGTAAAAAAAAAAAAAAAGTTATAACACTGCTAGGTATTTGGGTAGCACAGGAGCAAAATCTTCCAAAAGGCAAACTTGCTTCTCATTGGAAAAGTTCTAAATGTAGATATCAGATATTGCATTTCACTGTCATGCAAACACTCTGACTCATGTTTTGGCATGCACTAAATCCTGGCTCCCCTCATGCTGTCACTCATGCATACTTCTACTTCATGTACAAAGCCATTGGGCTTTTCTATACAAAGCATTTATT